TTAAAAATTAGGAAAATTAGGAGTAAAAGTATGACTCTTTGGAACATAGAGACCGACTGAAAACGATTTTGAAATCAGATTGCTTTTAAAATCATTTCTTGTGTTGGGTTGGAATTAGAAAAATAGAATTTGAAATCCAGTTCTGTTCCAAAAAAATTTCCATCCAAAATAGGTCGAATTTGGTAGGATATTAATTGAAAATTGACAACACTTGGAAATTTACCCTAACAAAAAATGTTGGCTTTCGAAATGTAATTAGGAATTTGAAATCATTTCATTCAAATTAAGGCCAAATGGAGCATTGGGGTAAAATTATTACATTTTGAAATGAAGGACCGGTAGTTTTCTCTATTTTATTTAAATCTATATACTTTCAAATGTTTTAGAAAGTAAGTTGGTAGAGAGGATTGTTATCGTATTACGAGAGTTTCTAATTTCTTAGGTCTAGGTAGTGCACGACAGTGACGTTTTGAAGGTGCAATTTCAGCAGCAGTGTCTTTTTTTTTTCTTCTGTGCTTTGATAGTAAGCTGCGAGATTAATCCTTGCAATACACCTAGCATTTGGGGGAAAAAAAAAAAAAAAGACGACGTTACCGTATTTGGTCCAATAAATGATATTGTGTCAATTGAAAGACTATGTAGTAGTTTAAAATTAATCTATGGATTTAACTAGAAAAGTCCTCCCTTTACTTGAAATCATGATCAGCTTAATTTCTCCTTGCATAATTTTTTGAAATCATAATTTCTTATGTCTTAACAAATTCAACATTTTCCCATTGAGTAAACTTTTTCATTATTACCAACAGATTTTATTTTAACGTGGCATATTGAAAACTAATCATCAATTACAAAATACATCTCTACATTTTGAGCCATGCAAATATTCTTTCTAAGACGTTTCTAAAATACAAAAGTTTTCGTGATTTCGAAACAAAATATGTAGGAATAATATTTACGCACAACCAAAGTAGAAGAGTATTATTTGTAAAGTTTTTTACTAAGACAAGAAGATTTCGGAAAGATGTCAATTTTAACCAAAAAAAAAAAAAAAATGGCCTACTTATATCAATTTTCATCCTAGATGTTCAATTTCACTAGATTGGAAGTTATTTGGATAAATATTGTAAATTTCACCTCATCACAAATTTTACCCTCTAATAGATTTTTAATTGAAAAATTGTTGAAAAAGTATTCTAATGAATAACATGAAATTGATAGGATTCGGATGAAAACGTCTTTTATTTTTATATATATATTTTATTTGTAAGTTTGGTGGATTTATTTTATGGTTGATTTTTTTCCATTAAAATCAAACTTAATTTTATGCATGTTCATTAAATTAGTTTTTTTTTTTTTTGTTAAAATTAGTAGGTAAATTAGCGAAAATTGAATAGAGGTTAAAAATTGCCACACACATCTAAGTTAAAAGTTTAACTTAACGAAACTGCCTCGAAAATTGATACAACTTAGACAAGTTTAGGAGTGAAAAATGGTTTTTTTGCCAAAGATTTTCTGTAGGTTTTATTTTGGCACACATTTGAGTAAAGTATTTCTGTGTTTCACCATTCTTCCTTGTGAAGTGTAATTAAGTGCAACTTATTTTTCCTATCTTATTTTCTTGCCGACATAGTTATAATATGTGATTAAAGTAGATTTTCTTTGGTATTTACCATCAACAATATTGCTTGATATGCAATTGATTCACAAAATCATATCATTTTGTTTGACATTTTTGTTGCGGAAAATAAATTGAGTTGATTGTGTTTGATTCTTTTCTTAGTTCCACTTTTTATTTTATTTTATTTACAATATGGGGACGGAAGATTGAACTCACCATTTATATGTCAATTAGGGTTGCTTTGGCTCTTTAGTTTCATTTTGTAATTACGATATATAATTTTATCGTATCCACAAAATAAAAATAAATTCAAAATAGCAAAATTTTAATAGGTGCCAATACGTGGCAAATTGAAATTTTCTTTATTAAAATTTCACAAGCCTATTTAGATTTTTTTTTAATTGATGGACTAATTTATTAATATATGTAAATTAGGATAGATGTCTATCACTTACATGTGGGGTTGAGACAGCGTGAGAGAGAAACTAAGTGAATTTGAGTTGGACTTTTTTTTGTTGCTATATTTTAAAATTCAAAATGCTATTGCTATATTTACAATTAATTAAGATGATTGGGACAAAATGTCTCCCATCTCTACCCATGGAGCCTCGTCCTCGTGGGAGGAAAATGAACACCAACTACCACCAAGTTTTTGAGTCTAGGGGATTGAGGAAGGGAAAGTAAAATAATAATAATAATAATAATAATAATAATAAAATTAGGAGAGCGAATCGAAAAGCTCGGATTGCAGAACCAACCAATCTTCTGTATTACTCCCTTAATCTCTCTATCTACAGAAAACTTGTGGAAGCACGAACAAATAAGTCACTAATATCGTGGCGAAGATTATACCTCAAAATTCTGGCGAATTTCTCATCAGAAATGAGCTTACACCTAAAAGAACTAATACTCTTGTGCCTAAACGGTTAACTTACAAAGGATTCATATTTACTTTCCAAAATGGGCATAGTTATATTTTTTAATTTCATGTGGATAACACAATCTCATAAACAACCATACAAAATTATAAAATATCTTTCTTTTATTAAAATATATTCAATTATAAACATTGTGCCATGAAACCAGGAAAAAGATGCAAAAAGAAAAGCCCACTGAAAAAGAAAAAAGAAAGTTTGATGCTCATTTAAGCTCAATGGTCTCTCATCATTAACCCCTCAAACCTCTTCTTTCATTTGTCATCAAAAAGTCCCACATTACACATATACTAAACATATGCCATTATAATTTATAATTCCCCCTCTCTAAGATTTCAATTTTAGTATAAAGTCCTAGTAAACTAAAATTTTATTATTATAGGACTCAAAATAAATCTTTGAAGCCAATCTGACCATATACTCAATAAACAAGACATTATTATTATCCGGAGATCGAGAGTTCAATCTCTCACCACTGTCCTGACTAATTTTAAAAAATAAATGTATAGCATAATTTCTCAAAAGTTAGTCATTTTTTTTGTAAATCTTTATTTATCTTTTATATGATGAACTTTTCTTTTATAACTTAATCCCCAAAATTGAGCCATCTTTCAATTTTTTTATTTAATTTTTTAATTCAAATAGGAAACAAAGATACTTAAAAAAAAAAAAGGGAACTTTTAGTGGGTTGCATGTTCACTAAATGCATTAAGCCATTGAAAAAAAAAATAGATTCCAAACAACACCCACCAAACACACATGTATTCCATATTTTATGTTCATATCTCATCATCATCCTCACACTCAGCGTTATATTTTTCTAATTTAAATTATACTCTGTACTAGAGTATAGATTTAATTAATAGTGAATTTAATTATATTTAATGAAGTGCATAGTTGTTTATTAGTTGTTCCATTTTCCAATCATTAAATCCACATTGCTTTTGTTTGATTGATATTTAAATTCAACAAAAGAAAACCTAGGTGTAATTTTAGAGTTTATT